CACAATATTGAACAACATGTTCACAAAATTTTATCGGATAATAATGTCTGTAACATGCCGTACACGGTGGGGCTATAAATGTTGCCCGCACTGTACTAAGTAGAGTACTAGGACTTGATTTAGCGTCGACACCCGACCAGCATCACACACCCGCATTACGCGTGCGACGCATCGTCGGCTTCTAGCTAATAGAAGGAGCAGGGGTTACTTCTTCTTCTTCTAGCATATCCCTTGGCTGTGTTCCCTTGGGCTCTAGCGCGACTGCTGTTACGATGACCGACTAAACGACATGCACTCTACTCCTTGTGGTTCAGCGGACATAGCAACTAATGCACCTCTCGGACCGGGAACTGCATCCTACGTCGCTCCTACTTTGGCATCTTGGGCTGCTTGATGAGGCGGCCGTGGTCGATTATCTTGGGCGGCTTTGCTGGTGCAAACAAGTCGGTCGGAATCACCGAGTGCGCTTCGGGGGGCGGCGGCCGCGACGGAGGCTCGAGGCGCACCGCCATCTCTAAGAGCGTGTCGTCCATGCGCGCGGTGGGCTGTGCGGGCACGGCGCCGAGCGACAAGCCCAAGTGCGCTTCGTCGTACTTGTCGAGGAGGCTTTGCACCCACGCGAGGAGCGCAGCCCCGGTCGTCGACGCGCGGCGAACAACGTCGGGCACCAAGTCGGCGTCCGAGAGCACCGCGTGCACGCAGTGGACTTGGCGCGACGTGAGTTTCTCGGGCGTGACGCGGAGGACCTTGGCACAGAAGCTCGGCGCGTGCAGCATATCGCGACAGCCGGTCCACGTGACGTCCTTGACGTGCAGCAAGAGCGCGACGCACACCAATACAGTGTGGAGCTCTTTGGACGGCGACCGAACGGCGCGCAGTAAATTGAGCTCGTCTTTTGAAATCCCGAGCGCATCGAGGCTCCGAAGCGTCTCGTGCTTGGCGTCCTGGCTCTGGTTGGAGCTTCGATCCGCGAGAAAGTGGTTGATCCGCCCTTGCTTGGTGCCTTGCACGACGCCGTCGACCATATACGCGCCGCCTTCGTACGCGATAGTGGTCTTGGTCGCTTCCATCTTGGCCGGCGGGAGCTGCGGCGGGAGCTCGGACATCGCGAGCTTGGCGGCCTCGGCCGGCTACGTTGTGCGTCCTCGTCAAGGTTTCGCTGCGTATGTGCATGGCACTACCTCGAGCGAGTCGACGGCAAACTGTTCGAGGGCTTGCTTGGCGCTCTCGACGAGCAGCTTGTACGTGTTGGCACCGAGGAGCTGCCCCGAGTACGAGGCGTCGATGCGACTCACGACCAAGACGACATTGTGTACATCCCAGCGCTGCAGCACGTACAGCAGTTTGTCGCCAGCGCCAAACATGCCACCGTCGTGCGCGCCTTCAACCACGTCGTAGAGCTCGGCCACGGCGCGCGACGCCATGTCGGACGCGTCGTCGGCCATCTCGATGACGCGGTACGCGTACGAGATGTGGGTGGCCCGTCGCAAAGCGCGTTGCGTCTGGAGGTCGGCGATGACCGCACTTACATTGCTGCTGTGCTTGATGGGCACGACAAAGCCCTGGACTGTGTTCTTGCTCACCGTCGTGGGCGGGCCGGCGCTGAGAGTTCGGCCCATCGCACCCTTTCGAAAGATTGCTTTGCAGCGCGGTGATTGGCCGGATCGCGACACTGGCGGTGTGTGATTGGTCGTTTCACATTGCCTTTGGTGCAAACATGACGCAGGACCTGACCGAGACGGAGATCGCCGAGTTCCGTGAGATCTTCAACCTCGTCGACCGCGTAGAGGGCATCTGATTGCTACTGGCGCTAAGAACCGAGTAGGATCGTGGCGGGTCCATCACCAAGGTGGAGCTCGGCGAGCTCATGGACACTCTCGGCATCAACACGTCACCGGAAGAGATCGACCTCATGATCAACGAGATCGACCAAGACAGCAACGGCGAGATCGACTTTGACGGTGCGTTCGTGTGGCTTATGGTCGTCTTATTCTCCACAGAGTTTGTGGCCGTCATGAGCCGCAAGGTAAACGCAACGTACAGCGCCGACCAAGTCAAAGCGTCCTTCAAGGTCTCACCCCTCTTGCAGCTTTCCCAACCAAATGCGAGCATTTAGCTGTTTGAGAACCCGAGCACGCCCGGGTGTATTCGCGTCGAGCGGCTCCTGAGCGCGCTCACGACGTATGGCAGCGACAAGATCTCGGAAGAGCAGGCGCGGGAGCTCATCTGCCAGGTACGCGCACGCCTCGCTTATCCCACCGCCTGAGATGCTCTTGCACAGCTCGAGCCCGACTCGAACGGGCTCGTCAACTACGAAGAGTACGTCAACATGATGATGACAAAATGACGCATCACACAAAATGGCACGTACTTCCAACCCCAAAGTTTGCTTCAAGGGAAAGGGAATTCCCAAAATGTAAAACGTACAGCAGCCTTTGTTGTTCGTACCTGCCGATACATATACATACGCTGGGATCGATTAATTCACGGAATTCAAACGACTCGAAATCAAGAATTCGTGGTAGCAAATGCAACATAATCTTCCTCATGCTCGCAGACTCGTTGAAATGAATTTAACGACTAATTGGCTTTTGAAAACAAAGTTAAACAGAGCCAATACTAAAGAATTTGGTTCTGTTTAAGTACGGTCTTACGACTAATTAGCTTGCTTCTTAAATGATCCTTTGCCAGTTAGAACAGCAGCGTGTCGGGACCTTCCTGGAGCGCTGTGATCCTCTTACGCTGGGGAGTTGGCCTTGATACCTGTCCCAAAACCCTTCATTTTCGTCGTATTCTTCACCCGTTTCAAGCTGGATTTGGATCTCGAAACCCCTTTGGCCGAGCAACGACCGGCTTCAGTTGGCAGATTCATCGGGACCCGCAGCGAGATGGCGCTCAACTGGTTCCTCATCGTCGTCGTCGTGCTCATGAGCTTCGTCTTCCTCGCCGCCAACGTCTACATCCTCGTCTACTTTCAGCATCCGGACGATAAGAACACGGCGTACTTTCCCAAGCTCCTCGTCGTACGCCGTTCATACCTCGCGGCTCCTAGTTCTTATTGCATGTTTCGTAGATCTTTGGCCTCCTCCTCGCCGAAGCGTGCGTCCTCCTCCTCCCACTCGACGTCGTACGTCCCTATCGAGGATGCTGCATGCAGCTATATACGGCGACGCGTAGGCCAACAATTCGACGGCCATTGGGTGCGACGCGGGCTGGAATGGCTCGTGCGGCAACCTCGACATGGAGGTGCTGTGGCTCATCGTGTTTATGGCGATCGTCGTCTTCCTCGTCCTGCTCCTTCCGTTTGCTATCTACTACTACGAGGGCGACGACGACTTGGACGGCGCCAAAGCAGCCTCGCGCTGGCTCGACGCGCTCAAGATGGAGGTCGGGACGCTCGTTGTCGTCGCGATTGTGATTGCAATCACATACTCCACGTCGTCCACGTCGACGATCCCGTACGATGCCATTGTCATGAGCTCGATTCCGAACGGCTCGATCCCGATCACGTCCGTCAACGGGACGAACGTGACGCATTCGACGATCGTTGTCCCGTCAGCGCTCGCTGCGTATTCTGGCTTTCATGCATTTACCGGTCTGTCACTTGATTGTTGTGAATCGAATGGGACAATATATGCTTGGTAGACGGGTCGGTCCTTAGCTCGGACGAGCGCCTCGCCGCGCTCACGCACCCGGTCCAAGCGACCAACATGACGGTGGCGGTCTCGGTGCCCATCTACATCACGGCGCTCTTCAGCTTTGTGGGCTGGTTCGCCTTTACGATCTTTGTGGCGATCGGTCTCATCGCGCTGCCGCTCGACTTGATCCTGTACCATCTTGATCATGACGGTTTGAGAACTTTGATATTTGCACGTAGGGCCTTCTTTTACCGTCCGCGCTTCATGCCCGCCGACATTTATGCGCAACAAAAGGTTGGTTGCCAAGTATAAATTCGACAAAGATCAAGCGAATCTGGTGTAGATGCTCATCCAGATCCGGTCGCTCGAGCTTTTGGAAGTCGGCAAAGAAATCAAGGCGCAGCAGCTCGTACGCAAATTCTCTTGAAAAAGTCGCGACACTGTGGACTGCAGACGGTCACGGGTTCGAAACTCTCGCTGCGCGAGCGTCAAAAGCAAGCGCGGCAAGACTTGCTCATGATGAACAAGTTCAAACAGGTACAAGTTCCCTCGGTTCTTTATGTATATAAACGTATATGACTAGGCCGTCTACTTGCTCGAGAAGGACGTCCAGGAGCTCAAACTCTGCCACGAAGACTACAAAAACTACAACCCGTTGGTGCCCATCGGGAAGCTCGTGCTCGGCTTCCTTTGCTCGATTGTGAGCTTTCTCTGGGTCCTCCAGATCATCCTCGCGATGCTCCCGCGCGTACCGATTGTGCCGTTCCTCAACAACTACTTTCTCTGGTTCGACTCGTGGTTCCCGCTCTTTGGCACGATCTCGGTCGGCCTCTTCACGCTCTACCTGCTCGCGTGCTGCGTCAAGGGCTGCTTCAAGTTTGGCATGCGCTGTTTTTGCTGTGCGGTACGTCTCCTCTCGTAGTCTCGATTCTTGATAGATTGATACCTTGGCGTAGCTGCACCCCATGGAGTTCAACGGCACGTACATGAACTCATTCCTTTTCAATCTCACGTACATAAACAAGCAACCAGCCCTATGAGGTCTGAGATGCGACGTAGGCTCATCTTGCTCTGCTGCATCCCGTGCGTGCAGTTCGCCAACCAAGCATTTGGCGACTATGTGCGCTTGACGACCATTCAGAGTACGACAATATTGATGCACACATTGTCAGTATGACCGATTGATGTAGCCATGATGGGCGTGCAGCTCAAGTACATGAAGGGCTTTACGTTCTTCTGGGCCAAAAACGTGTTTCTCTACATTTTGCTCGCGCTTGCCTTCCTCACGCTCATCTACCTCGTAACGAACGAGCATATAACAGCAGTTGATGATTTTTGTAGGCAATTCGACCCCGCGACACGTCGTCCAAGACGGACAAGATCCGCAAAAAGATTGAAAAGCAAGTGCGGCTCGCGACCGCCTAAGATCTGTGCGTCACGAATCACATGTGTCCGTCTACGCTTGGTCCACGCTTCGATCCTCGTGCTCGACAGCGTATATGCATCGTTGCAGTACGTGCCTTTATATGCATCGCAGCCGTGTCTTCTGCCGGTGGACGCAGTTCCAGTGCGTTGAGAAGAGACGCTGGTGATCCGATCTGAGTGTTCAAATATCACTTTTGGGATCGAGCCAATCAAATGATCGCAGCAGCAGTGAATCCTTGGCGCCATGAGAGCAAGCTCAGTGGCTTTGCCCTGTACAAGGAGTTACTGGGCGCTCGACTCTTGTCGGCCATGCTTCTCGTCGACGACAAGGCCATGGACGTTGAAACTCGGGCGGTGTCCTCAAGATGGTGCTGGCCAGCTATGGGCGACCTCTTCCTCACGTGTGTCAATCATAGCGTTATAACAAGCGCATGGGTGACGACGACCTTGGGTCCCGATGGTTGGACCTTGCCGGGAGTGCAACCACCATACAGGTTGGCCCATGCGTGATCTCCCACTTCAGCCCGTTGGTTGAGTTGCTCGTCGACGGGCCTTCCCAACAATATGGACAATAACCAATTATATTTAAATAATGTCACTACAATAATTTAATTGCTCGTGCGCTCATGAGCAGTGAAAATGGCGCCAATGTACAGCGGCCGGCGTCGCTGGCCGTGGCAGCCACTGGCTTCACTGCGTGCGTTCGTTTGCTTACACAGTATATCGAACCAGGAGCGCAGTCCGTCGGTGCGAATTGCAGCGCGGCGGGATCCTAGCTCACACTATTTCCGTGCGTATCTTGGCATGGAAGGGCCGCCTGGCACGACGCCGATCGGCAGCCACCGCGCGCGCAAGGTGCTGCGGGCCTCGCTTCTGCTGCCAGAGGCGGCCGCGCTCGAGAGTCTTCCGAGCCTCGAGTACCTCGAGCGCACAAGCGTCAAGGCGTTCCTTGAAGACGCGCTCAAGCAGCTGCTTCTCGAGCGCCCCGAGAGCGCCGCCCGCTTCTTTGACAAGTATTTTTCCAGGTAGCCGCTACCGCACTATGCATCTGAGGTGTCGGTAGAGTGCTAGCCATGACGCACGTCGAAGGCCGGTCCTTTGAGTTCGTCGATGCCAATCTCCGCAATCGCCTCGCGTTTCTCGCGCTCCTCGACAGCGCGCTTGGCCACATTGACGATGCGTACGGTGCGTCACCGACGTAGCTTGCAGAAGGATGCGACTGCCGCTAGAGATGACGATGGACGACTTTCACCAGCTGGCGGCCGCGAACTGCCATGGCTTGCCGCGCTCGCTCGTGGCCCAAGCGTGCGGCCACCTTCTCGAGCCCGAGAGCAGCGCCGTCGAGATCCCATTCAAGCGCATCCTGACATGCTTCCGGGCGTGCTTGATCTACAATGGTTGGCGCATCCAACCCGCGGCTTCGTGACTTAGGAAGATGGTAGAGTTCTTAGCCCACGTCTACCACATTTACGCCGAGTACGCGCGGCCCGAGAAGAAGGACGCGGCCGCGCTCGAGACGGCTGACGAGAAGCGGCGCAAGGACGGCGCGCAGGCCAAGCTCAGTGAAGCCGTCGTCGCCAAGGTCCGCGACGAGCACCGCGGGTGCCACGAAAGGTACGTCACTGCGCCAAGGCCAGCCTCATGCAGAGGAGCGCAGGTTCACCTGCCCCGCGCTGTCCGTCGTCGAGGCGTGTCTGTACACCAGTAGCACCTTCAAGCAGGTTGGCATATCGAGAGCTGTGCTGCAACCTAGATGCTGGCTAGTTCTGCGGGGCCTTTGTCGAGCATGTCGCAATCGACGCTGCGATCAATGAACTCCACAGCGCGCACGAGAAGGTGGGCGAAGCCGTCTTTCGGCTGGCAACGGGCGACGCCACCGACGGCCCAGACATGGACACGTACGCCGGCTCCTCTGCAGGATATCGCAGCCAACGTAGCGTAGACTCAAGCAGCCGCGCAAGACGACCAAGCGGCGCGCCTCGTCCAAGGCGGCCAAGCGCGGGTAGCCGGCGATGCAGAGGCAGGGGCGCTGCGATCTTGGCCCGCAGCTGGCGCCGCCAAATTTTAGGAGCTTGTATTCTGCATGCCCGTTTTCAGCCAATGGCCTTGCCGTAATGAACGAGTTTTATCCAATGGCATCGCGCACACGTTGGTATCTAAGACGTGTGATCGAGCGTTCGGTGTAACTTCCCAAGCCAACGACGACGAATGAGCCAAGTGGACGTGCCGTACACGAGCCAGCGGCTGCGCTTCGTGGTCGAGCCGGCGCTGGCCGACGAGATCCATGGTGGCACGACTGCATGTACGTCGACGCGCAATGGGTGAATGATGGCTCATGGACTCGCGGCCTAGTGCGCAAGGGCTGCCACCTCGGCACGCTGGCCGAGCAGGTCACGCCAGGCACGACGCTCGAGCGCGACGCGTTTCTCGCATGGATGAAGGCGGCGAGTGGCATTCAGACGGACCGCGACTTTCGTTCGGCGCACGCGCTGCTCGAGCTGCTCTACCACGCCTTCTCAGCGTACAGCGTCGACATGGTAGACCTCGCGATCGGTGCCATGACCGTGCTCGACGGCTCGACCGAAGACAAGCTCCGGACGGCGCTGGCGCTCGTGACCGACGACGTCATCACGGAAGGCGACCTCGTCCGCGTCCTCGGCGGCTTCCTCCTCGGTCTCTACTGCCTCTTTGCGGGCGCCGACGACGAGAACAGCCACGCGCCCGACGCGATCGTCGAGCTCCTCACAAACAGCGCCGCCAAGACCGTCCACGGCCTTCTTGAACAGACGCCGACGCTCACATTTGAGCATATTTGGGACTGGTACCTCCTTGTGGGCGCCACCGAGGCGCCGTACCTCAAGCTGCTCGACATGGACCGGTGGGCGATCGAGGGGCGCGCGACCGTGTCGCCGCCGCCAAGCACGAGCGACGGCGTCCTCTTTGGCTTCGTATCGGAGGGCCACGTCCTCGGCGTCCACGAAGCGCACGCTGTGGAGCTCGAGGACGTCCTCATGGCGACGCGCTTTCCGGTGCTGTCGCCGCAGACGCTCTACGATACCTTCTTGCACCACACGCTCGACGGGTGGCTTGACGAGCTCACGTTCATCGAAAGCGTCAACGAGCTCACGTGCATGACGTGCACGAACCACGTCATGGACGACGACAAGCTCATGGGCACCATGCGATCGCTCTTCAAGCAGTACCTCGGCGGCGCCCACAGCAAGACGACGGTCGACGCGTTCGAGCTCGCCGCCGGCTTTAGCCTCTTTGCGCACGGCTCAAAGAGCGACAAGCTCGCGGCCGGCTTCCATTTCTTCGATACGGACGACCTCGGGTACCTCTCGAAAGGCCAGCTCTGGCGCTTCCTGCGGTCGGTCATCCTCACGATCCTCGGGCTCGCACCGCCGTCCATGCCGCTGCCAACGTCGTCGATCCTGGCGTTTGTCGACGCGGGCGGCGCGGCGATCTTGGAGGCGCTGGACGCACCCACGTACACGTTCGAGACGTTTGGCCGGTGGTACAACCAAGGCGGCTTCCAGCTCTTGAGCTGGCTCGAGCTCCTCGACCTCAAGAAGTGGTCGTTCGTCTACGGCGACTTCAACACGTCGATCTTGGACAAGACTCCGGTGCAGCCCGTCTCGGCCAGCATGTACTACACGGCCAAGAACATTCGGGCGACCAACCAGAAGGACGACGCGGGCTCCAATGACAACCACAATGTGCAGAGCAACGGCGGCGGCCTCCTGCCGCTCGACTCGATTCCGGCGCTCTGCCTCAAGAACGACGTGGTCCTCGCGTTCGACCTCCTCCTCGAGTCGGACTTGCACCCAGTGCAGAACCTCGCCTTTGACAATGGTGATCTGCTGCACTACGCGCAGCTGCAGCGGGACACGGACCTCTATACGCTCAACGTCAACGCAGTACACAATGCGTTTGCAGCGTACATTGACGTGCACAACGGCCTCGCCACCATCGACAAGGGGCGCTTTGACGCGTGCATGGGCGCGCTGCTGCCGCACGCCCTCGACCGGTCGGGCCTCGCCGCCCTCTTCTTTGCGTTCAACCGGACTGGCACCGGGAAGCTCGACGCGACCGAGTTTGTCTCGGGCTTCCTCCTCCTCGTCGGCGGCTCGAAGAGCAGCAAGCTCGCATTTTGCTTTGGCCTCTTTGACGAAGACGGCGACGGGTTCCTCACGCGCCGGGAGATGTGGAAGTTTTTGCGCTCATTCCTGACCATGCTCCTGGCGCTCGGGAACGGCGCCGACTTGTCGGCCGACACGATCGGGTACATCTGCGACGCCGCGTGCATTTCGATCGCCAAGAGCATCTTCAACGAGTCGATGAGCGGCGACGACCTCGTGCTGCGCTCCAAAGTGGCATTTGCCGACTTTGCCGACTGGTACTCGGAGAAAGGGTACGCGCTCATCCCGTGGATCGAGCTCCTCGATGCCAAGAAATGGCCCGTTGTCGACGCAACGATCGCAAATGCTGTCAGTAGCTTCACCGCGTCGACGGCCGCCGGCCAAGAAAAGGAAGACGCGCTGGTCGAGACAACGACGACGGTCGTGAGCAGCGCCGGCGGGTACCCCGCGAGCACCCAAGACGGCTACAAGGACTCGTCCTCGGTGGTCTTTCAGTTCAAGCTCACGTCGTACGATGCGACGATGCTCCGGATCCGGCTACGGGACGTCGCGGTCGTCTCGACGATCGCCGACAAGCTCCGACTGCGGCTCTTGACGTGCGAAGCGCTCTACACGAGCCTTGACAAGTTTGCGAAGGGCAAGTGCCTCACCAAGTCGGGGTTTTTGTATGCAATCCGGAGCCTCGCGCCCAAGGAAGGCTTGAGCAGCGAAGACCAAGAGTTCCTCTCGTACCACCTCCTGCGGCTCTTTTCACTTTACGAAACCGAGACCAACCTCGACGGCAGCGACGACGACTCGGAGACTATGATCACGACGTCGGTTCCCGGCTCGATCATGGGCAGCGCGGTCGACAAGCTCCACTTGTTGTCCGGGCTCAGTATCCTCTGCGCAGGTTCGAAAAGCAACAAGCTCGGCGTGCTCTTCACGCTCTACGACGTGCACCACGACGGCTGCATCTCGCGCCGGGCCCTCTTCGAGCTCTTCAAAAGCATCCTCGCGCTGCTGTTTTCATTTTCGCTGGCCGAGGCCGCGTCGTCGTCGTCCAACCTCTTTGCTGCCGAGCGCGCGGCCGGCGCCCTCACGTCCCAAGTGTTTTGCGAGACGCAGTCGCGGTCGTCGATCTCGCTCGGCGTCTTTGCCGAGTGGTACAGCGCCGGCGGGTACCAGTGCTGCCCGTGGCTCGAGCTCCTCGACCTGAGCAAGTGGCCGACAAAGGCGGCGATGGACGCCCACGCACGCGAGAAGCCGCTCGCGTACGCCTTTGACATGCACGAAGAAGGGAGCCTGCTGCAGTACTCTGAGAAGGACATTGCGACGTACCTGAGTATGCTGGACGCGACGCAGTTCCTGTCGCTCCCGGTGGCCGCGATCCACGAAGCCATCGTCGCCAACGCGCGGCCGCAGCATGGCAGTACCGTCGACGGCGGCGGCCTCGTCATCTCGCGCGCAAGCTTTTATCGCTGCATCCGCAAGCTCATTCCGCGCCAAGCCATCAACGAAGAAGGCCAGCAGCTCGCGTCGCGCCTCCTCGCACGGCTCTTTGGCGTCTACGACCGCAAGAAAACTGGCAAAGTCCAAGCGCTCGAGCTCGCGTGCGGGCTCACGATCCTCGGGCACGGCTCCAAGAGCCAGAAGCTGGCGGCCGCGTTCGATCTGCTCGTGTCGTTGGCCAACAAAGGGTCGCCCCAGCAGACCAAGCTGCCCCATGGCATGCTCTTCTTGTATTTGCGCTCGTTTCTCTTAGCGCTCATGGTGCTGAGTGATGCGCGGTACCGGTCGGGCCTCGAGCACATGTACGTCGAGGCGGACGAGGTGGTCGGGGAGGCCACGACCAAGGTCCTCTCGGAGATCACGCTGGACGCAAGCCTCCGGACGAGGAACCGCATCTCGTTCGAGCAGTTTGGCGAGTGGTACAACGGCGGCGGCTACGAGACGCTGTCGTGGGTCGAGCTGCTTGACGTGGCCAAGTGGCAGCACGAGACGTCGACGCCGCCGACGCAGCATGGCGTCCGCGCCTCCGACATTGGCCTTTCGCCCGCCTCATTGCACGACCCGGTGCTGCTCGAGATGCGTCTACCGAGCCGGCCGCTGCGCTTCACCGCGTCCGGTATCCAAGGACTCCGCGAGTGTCTCGTGCACTTGGAGCTCCATCTGTACGCGCCGCTGCAGCTCCTCACGGTGCTCAAGAGCTTCCTCAAGCGCCACGAAGCACCGTCGACCGACCTCCTCTCGCCGACGGTGCAGGTGGCGCTGACAAAGGACCAGTTCCGAAGCGCGCTGCTTCAACTCTGCGCGACGCACGCCCACTGCACCAATAGCTACGTACTGAGCTTTGCGGACGCGGTGTTTGCGGCATTTGCCGCCAACACGGACGACGCGGCCGATGCGCGCATCCGGCGGCGCGCGACGACCGTGCCCCTCGTGCACTTGCTCTGCGGCCTCATGGTCTTCACGGACGGGTCGCTCCTCGAGATCCTTCTGCATGGGACCGCGCTGCTGTGCTTCACTGCGTTTACAGAGCAGCTCGTCGACGACGTGAGCCAGCACCATTTCGTCCCACGCTCGATCCTGCAGCTCTGCCTCGAGGCCTTTCTCAAGATGCTCTACGCCATTAGCAGCAGTAGCCTGGACGTGGAGAGCCATATCGAAGGCAGCGCCAAGGCCGGCGCGAAAGCTTGTGTCGGGGGCTTCGCGCCCGGCGGGCCCGACGAGATGGTGTCGATCGAAGCGTTCTGTAGCTGGTACCTCGAGCGCAACGAGCACGACTGGCTGCGACTCGTCGTGCTGGAAAACTGGCCACCCGAGCTCCTCGAACTCAACCTCGCCAACCGCGCGTCGCAAGCCACGTCGTCCTAGTCGCTCGAAACATTTATTTGCATGTTCATTCGTCCTTGGTCTTGGTCGTCGCCTTGTCGCCGTAGAGAAGGCAGCCCATGCCGAGGAGGATAATGGAGGCGCCGAGCCACCATTGCAGTGGGAGGTGCTCGTGGAAAATGGCGAGGCCCAGGATCGCCTACCGTCGACGGATCAACCACCTGTCGATGACGCATGGGGTCTACCGTCACGACAAAGTTGATGGCCGAGCTCGTGATCGTCGCTGTAAGCGAGTCGGTCTCATGGAGGCCTTGCACGAAGAAGTTGAGCATGACGGCGTTCGAGAGCAGCATCGCGATGAAGAAGAGGACCCGGACGCCGACGCTCACGTAGGCGCAGTCGAGCCAGGCCACCTCGGTCGCCATGCTCATGCAGGTTTCCTGGACCACATGCAGCATGGAGGTTGAGTCGTCCGAGGAGAACTTGCCGAGCATGCCCGAGCAGGCGGCGATCGCGCCCGACACGGCGCTGCTCCACATGCTGGATACACAAAAAGCAAAAGTGATGCGTATTTTCGGCATTTCACTTTTGCAATGCGGCATTCTAGATATGGCATGTGCCACGTTATAAAACACTGGTTCAACCAGTGTATGGCACCGCGGATCCGGATACGGCGCGGAGACCACAGAAGCACAAGCATGGCACTCGATGGCTTCGTCGTCGAGGTGCGCAACCTCCCGGCGGCGCTGGCGACGTCGGCGATCGAAGAGCTGCTGCAGCATGTCGGCGCCACCGATATCCGCGTGCTGACAAGCCGCAGCAAGGTACAGCGCCATGCATGCTCTACCGCAGAAGCTCCATGGGTCCCGATCCTGCGTAGAAGAAAGCAGCGTTAGCCGCCTTCCCGAACGACAGCATTGGCAACGCTGCTGTGGCACGACTCGGCAAGATGCGGCTGGCTGATCACCAGCTCCAGGCGCGGGTCCACGGCGGCCCACTCGACGCCCCACCACCTTCAACCGCACCGATCTTTCCGCCGCTGCCACCCGAGCCGACGCCATCGACACCATCGACAGCGCGGCAGCCGACGCCAATTGCACCGCATCTCGGGTACGCGTTCGGAGGATATGCGTATGCCACATGCAGGCGACATAGACTGCACTACCCGCCGTCGCCGCTGCTCGCGTACAAGTACCCCAAGGCGACGCCCGAGATCGTGGCCAATGTCGCCAACGGTAAGTCCCACGGCGTCGCCCTTCCTCGTCACCATCTACATAGCGCTCATGGCCCTGCCCAAGCTGTACACACAAGTGCTGCATCTCATGAACAAGATGCACTTGCCGCCACCGTTCGAGAAGGACGTCATCCGCGGCCCCTTCTCGACTGACGTAGGAGTTCTACGATCTGACGTGCTACTATCGCGGCTTGCGGTAGGTGCTCGCTGCCGGCGGCAAACGCCAGTACGAAGATGCCTTTCAAGCCAGCGACGACGACGAGGACGACGACGAGAAGGACGACGAGGCGACTGCGGACGCGGCCGTTCTTGGTCCGGACGCCCCCGCCGACGTCATCGAACGGCCCGTAGCGGTGCCCAGCCAGCGACCACGGGGCGCCAAACCACCGAAAAAAGCACTGCGCGTCGCCCTCGCGTTTGTCGACGACGCGCCGGCGCCCCGTCTCGTGGCGCGCCCCGGCGTCATCTCCGAGGCCGAGTTGAATCGAACTCGACTCGCCCCCGAGGGTCTCATCTTCACCTTCATGAGAGTATACAGAGGCTGATCGAAGACATCGTAGCGCTCTTGGAGCTCAAGTACATGAAGGGGTACGCCCGAGGCGACCCGTCGCGTGTGCTCTACATCAAGAATATCGCCAAGTCCGTCGACGAGTCGGACCTTCGCCACGTCTTTGGGGCGGTCTTCCCCGACGACGCGTCCATGGGGTACGCACAAATGTATCAAATTGTCAAGTGACGCGGTCGCGTAGCCTCCTCTCGATCAAGTTGTTTAAAGAAGGGCGGCTCAAGGGCCAAGCATTTGTCGAGTTCCCAGATGTGGCGCTGGCGACGCTCGCGCTCGAGACCATCCACGGTGTCTGCTTGGAGGAGAAGCCGCTGATTCTGGTATGTGAACTGTGTACCCAGATCTGATTGCTTTCTAGTGCTACCGAAAAGCTCCGACCTCCGACACTGGCGCACCACCAGCCGTGTAAAATGGTGGATCCGCCAGCAAATGACATGTTTTGTATTGTACACAGGACCGTCTCAGGCGACAATTAGTTAGTTGAACGGAGAATCGGAGAATAGTAGTCATATATATGGAACTCGAGCTACTTCAACGTCCAGTCGAAAGCTTCGACGTTCGGAGAAAGGCTTGAGACGGCGACTGTCGCATCGACAGTCCGCCACAGTGCACCTACAGCTATTTACACGCAACTTTCCGTTGCACCGACACGTCTCGAGCATGACACTGGGACGCGCCATTCGTATCCGCCTCGGCGTCCAGACAGTCGATTGCAGCGGCTTTCAGAGAACAGCCGACGCGACAGCGACCCCGCGGGCACGACTTGGGTGCGGTATCGAGAGCGCGAGATCCTGCAATAGCAAAGCGGTGGGTTGGGTGCGTCTAGTCTTGCGTCCGATTGGCGCAACCGTAAAAGTTCGAAGCTGAAACCGTCCATAGATCGTGGTTGGCAACGGTTGACCTTTCCAGTACGTACTTGGGATCTTGCTTTGGCATGACGTCGTCGATCGAGGACCTCCGCTTGCTGCAGCGGGCTGCGCGGAAGGGCCGCCACGACCTCGTCGCGAGCTTGATCATGAACGGCGCCGCCATCAACGCCGCCGACGACGCCGGCCGGACTGCTGCCCACGAAGCCGCGCGCAACGGCCACGTCCAAGTGCTCAATGTGCTCCATATGCTCGGCGCCGACTTGAGCGCGCGCAGCGACCGCGGTGTGAGCGTCGCGCACCAAGCCGCGTACGGCGGGCACGTGGCCTTCCTCCAGCGGCTCGTCGCGATTGGTGCCCGCGTCGACTGGACCGACCACAACGACTGCACGCCGCTCGAAGTGGCGATTGAGGCGCACCAGTACGCCGCCGCCGAGTACCTCGAGACTATCTATAGTGAGCACGTCGTCGAGGAAGAAGCCTACGACGCCGACGATGGCGCGATCGACACGGAGCTCCAGGCGCCAAGCGTATTTCCACTGCCGCCGGACCTCTTTAGCCTTCTCAACGCCGCCCCGGTAGACGCCACCGACCACACCGACGGCGACGACGATGCAACGCTGTCGTCGGAAGAGCTCGACTTGCCGGGCGATGGGCTCCAGTCACTCCTTCCGTCCGACTACTTTGCCTCGACCAAGAAGCGGCCGCGCGAGACGACGTCGCTCTTGCCGCCCAAGCGACTTCGCGAGGACCGATTCCTCTCGCCGTCGACACCGGTCGACCAGGCCGTGTCGACGTTTCTGCGTCCGCCAGTCTCGTCGCCGCCGTCGCTCCTGCACAAGCAGTTGGCGGGCGTTCCGTGGCGCCGAAAACCAGAGGTGTGGCGACAGCCCGACGACGACAGCGACGACAGCATTCCGTCGCGCACCACGGCAGCGTCGGTCGCGGAGCTCATGCCCGAGACGGACCACTCGATCCACTCGCTCCTCGCGACGTTCGAAGCGGATGCCCACTGATTGCGTCGGCAGCCAACTAATTTAACAAATCAATCAACGTGTGGCGTCCTACAAGCGACATGTGGTGGGCACGGTGGGTTGGCCCAAGGTGACAGCTCATACGGCACTCTTGCCACGACGTAGCAAGGCTGGCCCTCTATGAGCGTGCATGGCAGCGACTGCTGTCCGTGCAGCCGCCACAGCTTCC